ATCATCATCATCATCATCATCATAATCAGCATCATCATCATCATCATCAGCATCATCATCATCATCATCATCATCATCATCAACAGCATCATTACCATCATCATCATCATCATCATCATCATCAGCATCATCATCATCATCAGCCTCATCATCAATATCAGCATCGACATCAGCATCAGCATCAACATCACCATCAACAGCATCATCATCAGCATCATCATCATCATCATCATCATCATCATCATCATCATCATCATCATCATCGGTGTCCTCCTCCTCCTCCTCCTCCGCCTCCTCCTCTTCCTCCGCCCTCTCGTCCTCCTCCTACTCCTCCGCCTCATCCTCCTCGTCCGCCTCCTCCTCCTCCTACTCATACTCCTACTCCTCCTCCTCCTCCTCCTCCTGACCATCGTTGTCCTCCTCCTCCTCCTCCGTCTCCTCCTCCCCCTCCTCCCGTCCCATCCCCTCCTCCTCCTCCTCCTCCTCCTCATTCGCCTCCTCCCTCTCCTCGTCCTCCTCATCCTCCTCCGTCTCCTCCTCCTCCTCCTCCTCCTCCTCCTCCTCCTCTTCCGCCACCTCCTCATCTCCTCCTTGCCTCCTCTTCATCATCTTGCCTCCTCCTCCTCCTCCTCTTGCCTCCTCCTCCTCCTCTTCCTCCTCTTCCTCCACATCCTTCACCTCCTTCGCCTCCTCCCCTTCCCCATCCTTCTACGAGTCGTCTTCCACCCTCCCGTTCGTCCTCCGTCTTCTCATCCTCAGCATCATCTCTCTCCTCCTCCTCCTCCTCTTCCGCATTTTCCTCCCCCTCCTCCTCCCATTACTCCTCTTCTTGTTCCTCTTCCTCCTTCTCCTTATCCTTCTCCTTATCCTTCTTATAACATTGTTCATCCTGCTACTATCGCCCTTCCACCATCCTCCTCCTCCTCCTCTTCCTCCTTCTCCTCCTCCTGCTCATCCTCATCCTCCTCCTCCTCCTCCTCCGCCTCCTTCTCCGCCGCCTCCTTCTCCGCCACTTCCTCCTCATTCTCCTCCTCATCCGTCTCCTCCTCCTCCTCCTCCTCCTCCTCCTCTCCGCCTCCTCATCCTCCTCCTCCTCCTCCTCCTCCAACTCCTCCTCCTTCTCCTCCTCCTCCCGCGCCTCCCCATCAGCCTCCCCATCTGCGTCCTATTTTTCCTCGCTGTTCCACCTTGATGCGCCCTCATCTTCCTCCTCCTCCTCCTCCTCCTCCTCCTCCTCCTCCTCCTCTTCCTCCTCCTCCTCCTCCTTCCACTGCTTTACCCGTCCGCGCCCCATCGGGAAGGCTAGCCTTAGAGGGCTGGCCGCGCCGAGGGCTCCCCAGCGCAGGGGCGCCCCCTGCCCCCCCAAAAAAACAAGAGGCGGGCCGATGTTGTGCGCGCGGCCTTGTCGACCGCGAGGAACAGGAAGAAGACGCGCGGCGGCGGAGCCGCAGCCTCCTGCGCGCGCACTGCGCGCGCCACTCCAGCCAAGACCCTTCGGATACACATCGCCGCACGTCTCGTCCAACGCCTTCTCCTCCGCCTCCTCCTCCTCCTCCTCCTCCTCCTCCTCCTCCTCTGCCTCTTCCTCTTCCGCTTCCTCCTCCTCTTCCTCCTCCTCCTCCTACTCCTCTCCTCCTCGTCCTCCCCCTCCTCGCTCTAATGCTCGTCCTCCTCCTCCTCCACCTCCTCCTCCTCATCATCATCGCAATCGTCGTCATCACCAGCATCATCATCATCATCATCAGCAGCAGCAGCATCAGCCTCAGCACCATCATCATCATCATCAGCAGCAGCAACATCATCAGCATCAGCATCATCATCCTCATCATCATCAGCAGCATCATCACCATCATCATCAGCATCGCCATCATCATCGCCAGCATCATCATGAGTAACAGTATCATCAGCAACAGCATCAGAAACAACAGCAGCATCATCATCAGCAGCAACAGCATCATCATCAGCATCAGCAGCATCATCATCATAATCATCTTCAGCAGCATCGGCAGCATCATCATCATCATCATCATCATCATCAGCATCATCAGCATCAGCATCAGCGGCATCAGCATCATCAGCAGCATCGTCATCATCGTCATCATCATCAGCATCATCACCACCACCACGTTCATCACGATCATCATCAGCAGCAGCAGCAGCATCCTCAGTATCAGCATCAGCAGCAGCAGCATCCTCAACATCAGCACCATCAGCATGGTCAGCATCATCATCAGCACCATCAGCATCGTCATCATCAGCATAATCAGCATCAGCAGCAGCAGCAGCATCATCATCATCATCATCATCATCATCATCATCATCATCATCATCATCATCATCATCATCATCATCATCATCATCATCATAATCAGCATCATCATCAACGTCATCAACGTCATCAACATCAGCACCACCATCATCATCATCAGCTGCAGCAGCATCAGCAGCGACATCAACATCATCAGCATCATCATCGACATCAGTTTCATCATCATCAGCAGCATCATCATTATCAGCATCAGCATCATCATCATCATCATCATCAGCATCATCATCATCATCATCATCATCATCATCATCATCATCATCATCATAAGCATCGACATCATCATCAGCATCATCATCATCGACAGCAACAGCATCATCAGCAGCATCAGCATCACCGCCCTCATTATCCTCCTCCTGCTGTTCTGGCTCATCCTGCTCCTCATGTTCCTGCTCCTCCTCTTCATGCTCCTCATCATCATCATCATCAGCAGCAGGATCACCATCCTCATCGTCAGCATCATCAGCATCACCATCACCATCACCATCACCATCATCATCATCATCATCATCATCATCATCATCATCATCATCATCATCATCATCATCATCCTCGTCATCATCATCCTCATCATTCTCCTCATCTTCGTCCCTCATCCTCATTAGCCTCCTTCTCCCCCAACCCCCCCCCCCCACCTTCTCCGACAAGAACTCGGCAACTACGCAACGCATACACGGATGGAGGACTGGACACAATTCGCAAACCAGCTATGGCTGGTCACTGCCTTGCACCGTACGGCTGTACTCATTTGCGTGCCTGATAGCTGGAAGGTGGAAGGATGGAAGGCGGGTCCTTTTACAAAACGGGGTCTCGCCTGAATTACAGCCCCACGTGGCGTTCGTCTGCCAAGGGAGGTGCTTCCCGCACTTGAGATGCATACCTGTAGAGTCTTCTGAGGAAGGGGCTTGGGACGGGATGATCGTGGCATCCCTCTTCTCCTCCTCCTTCTCCTCCTCCTCGTCCTCCTCATCCTGACCTCGCACAGCCATCGGGCGCCTCGTGCCCCGCAAGTTGCTCCAAATGCGGCCCAAGTGGGCAAATTCGCATGCCGCCGCCCGCCAAATGTCCGATCACGCCTCACACGTTTCGTGCCCCACGGGGAACTGCAGGCTCGCTGGGCAAACTCCCGTGCCGCCACCCCGCCCTCTTTCCGCACGCCCCATCGCATGCCTCGCGCCCCAATAGGCAACTCCACCCAGGGCCCCACTGGGCAAGCCCCCGCGCCAGCACTCCGCACTGTTTCGCACGCCCCATCGCGCGCCTCGCACCCCCACAGGGAGCCCCACGCAGGGCTCCAGTGGGCGAATTCCCACGCCGCCGCTCCGCCCTCCTTCGCGCGCCCCTCGCGCGCGTCGTGCCCTGCAGGGTGCTCCACATACGGCCCCACTGGGCAAGTGTCCGTGCCGCCACCCCGCCCTTTTCGGCACACCCCTCGCACGTCTCGCGCCCCACGTGGAGCTCCACATGCGGCCCAGCTGGGGCAACTTCCCATACTGCCACCCCGCCCTTTTCGGCACACCCCTCGCACGTTCCGCACTCAACATGGGAGCTCCACGTACAGCCCTGGTGGGGCAAGCTAGCAGGCCGCCACCCCGCCCTTTGAGACAAGCCCCTCGCACGTTTCGCGCCCCGCATGGGAGCTCCACGTATGGCCCCAGAAGGGGCAAGTTCGCATGCCGCTGCCCCGCCATTGTTCTGGCCCGCCCATCCCGCGTTCACGATCGCCGACCTTTGGCGCGCTCTCCAGAAGATGAGACCGACAAGCGACAGGTCCCGACGATGCAGCCCCAGAGTTATGGAAGACCAGCGGTAAACATGATGGCGTTTGAAGTGCGCGACTGGAGAAATGTCAGGCAGGTTGGACAGAGATGGACTTGCCCGCACATTGGAAGAAAGTTAGTGTAAGCGTACGTCACCCAGACGTCATCCAGAAAACCTCACAGAGACCACCGCCCCCATATACATGGTTGCTTGCCGATGGGTGAAAAATCCCAGCGGCGTTGCGCTGGAGGCTACTCCAAAGAGGGGCAGAGCAATCTCAATTCGGGTTATCGTCGAAACGCGTCATGGTGTCAGCCTTACAATTAATCCGACGAAGCGCTGACGCAGCACCTCGAAACAAAACTATGCGCTTGTGTGCGTAATACTGGATTGGGCAGAATGTTTTCACCGAGTCAGCCAAGATTGCCTATGCACGGCCTTGGACTCTTACGCACGAGGAAACAAGCACAGGAAAAGACCTGGGGGATTCACGCACGCATATGTTTTACGATTGCTGACCATTGCGGCCGGCTCACAGAGAAAAAAACAAATGGTGGGCATAGCCCAAGGTTGCCCGTTGTCCTCATATCTGTTAGTTACTGTACAAGCCGTTCTTTTTCACGATGAGCTGTCTGAAATTGAAGTGGTGGAAGAAACAAAGTACACTCTCACCAGAGACATCCTCGACGGCACTCTGATCGCGCCGACCCACGCCTACACCAAATGTTGGATATACCGTAATGTAGGAACAAAGGTATTATGGCATTATGGGCAACTGGGACCAGACATGCCCTGCCCCTTTATAAAGTTCGTTTGACAAAGCACGCTGGAACAGCAAAATGGGCAAACTCGTCAAAAGAGTTAGAGAAGCGATCTGCTTGGGAGGGCTACTGTCGTGCGCTGGTCGGGCAAACAACAAATTATCACGACAGATAGGTGAGAGCATGAACATCGAAAATACCGTCTCATACGTAATGCGGGATACACCGCAACTTACACACCTATGGGAGTCATGTGATCAGCCAACTCATATACGGCTAGGTTTCTGTATGGTTGGTGAGGAGACAGACGAGGACTGCCGAGATGATTTTCCACCCAGAGCGTTAGCGTAAGACCCTCAACGTTCGACACTCGCTTGTATCGCGAACCTCTACTTCGATTGTTCTGACAAGGGGTAACCCGTTGCCCTTAAAGCAGAATTTACTCCAAAAGTAGACCACTCTACGTATACAAAAACATTACGTATCAAGCGGTCGACTCTTTAATAAGATGCATTGTGCGCAATTCAAATGGCACTCCGAAAACTTGGACACGCAACTGCAGCATAGGAGGTCCGCGACAACAATGGCCGAAACAACTGTTCGCAACATATCAGATGCATGTGTGGCTAATGTTGCGTTTCTACTCTCTCCCCCTCCTCCTCATGGTGGGTCATGGGGCGCTTCGCTCTCTGCGTCACAATCGTTGTCCCGTGAAACGCAGCCCCCACATGGACTTATCACGCTTCAGCTGGCGCAGCGAAGCGACTCGCACTGCCACTAGAAACGTGAAGCTCACCCAAGAAACACAACGAATTAGAAGCAAGAACAGATGCACAGTTTTGCGCCTGCCCCCTCGCGCGTTTCACGCCCCGCAGGTGCGGTCCCGGTGGGCAACTTCCCATGCCGCCGCCCTACTCATGCAGGCGCACCCCTCACACGTTTCGTGCCCCACGGGGACCTCCACCAAAGCCTAAATTGGCAATTCGCATGCCGCCACCCCGCCTATTTCGACACGCCCCTCACGCGCGTCGTGCCCCGCACAGAACATCGTTTACGCGCGTTTGCTCTGCGGGCCCTTTATCCGCACTGCCCCGCGGCGCGCAGCACATGAAGAGCAGCGCGCTATGTGGCACGCGCAGCGTAATACGGTTGGGCCCTTCGCTAGCCGAATGTATGTTTGCCATGCTGTTTGCCTTTATTTTGTCTGCGCCCCGCTCCAGGTTCCAACTCCTCTTTCACTCCTCTTGTCTCCCTACCTCGCCCCTTCTTGGCACCCATCTTCCTACCTCCCTCGCAGTCTCCTCCCCCAGTCAACTGCACAAGCTCCACCACCGCTCCCTGGGTGAAAAGTTGTTCAATTTCACCACGCCGCTCCGATTCCCTGCAGGAAGGCCTTCCCACACACTAATCGCGGACGAACTGCTAAGGTTGGAACTCTGCGCGAACTTACGAACAGCAAATGACGAATCCACTTACACGCTGCCTGTGGTGCCGACCCCTACTACAACCGTACGGAGGCATAAGCAGCATCAACATCGTCACCACCACCAGCACGTCCGAGATAGCACTCCAGCAGAAGCTCTACTTAACCACCGCTGCGGACCCGAAGGGGTGCCACCGCCACAGGCGCGTATCATCGACATTGCCCCAGCCTCGTTTACGGACATGTGTTCTTAATGAGTTGGTTACACAACACAGGCCCAAAAATAACGCGCGCGGAAGAGGGAAGGGAAGACCTCAACGCCAACGCCGCTTCGAAAAATAGTGCAACCGAGCCCACGCATGATGAGGCATTCGCAGGGCCAGCCCTCTGGAAAGATCGGAGTTCAGCCAGCGCTGTGCCTGCGACTGCGCGTTCGGTTCCGCCTGCCCGCGCACGCGGCCGGAGCTGCCACGGAGAGCTGGCAGGCAAGCCTGCAGGACCGTCAACGCAAGCTCTGCAGCGGCCCTGTTGCAGGCGGGTGGCTTCGTGGAAGCTGCAGAGGAAGCCCTGGGCCACGGCAAACGAGTGCAGGCTTCCTGACGATGGATCGGCACAGACATACCCAAAGTGACAAGCCACGAACCGAATTCTCACAGCGCTGGTCTGGGGATGGCCCGCGCGCACCGCCTGCAGAGAACCGACGGCAGAAAGGAGAAAAGACGGACAAGGACACCAAACTCATCGCAACCCGCAGACCGCAGACTGGAGGAGGCGGAGGAGGAGGAGGAGGAGGAGGAGGGAGGAGGAGGGAGGAGGAGGGAGGAGGAGGAGGAGGGAGGAGGAGAGGAGGAGCAGGGAGGAGGAGCGGGTCTGCCTCTCCAGCACAAGACCCCCTCGAGCGCTGCGCCCTCCGAGCGGAAGGGCCGATGAGAAAACAGCGGTCAGGGATCCGATCGGCGCTGGCACTAATCAAGCAAGCTCCCCTCTGCTGCCAAGTCTGCCCCCGCTCCACGCCCACACTCGCCCCTGCGATCCCTGGCCTGCTGTCTGCCCCCTCTTCCTCCTCCCGCTCCTGCTCCTGCTCCCCCCTCCTGGTGTCTGCTCCCCTGCTCCCGCTCCGGGTTTTGAGCGCCCCCCGCTGGAAAGCCATCCTCCACACGGTCCACAGCGGTCACGTTGGACACGCCAACTTCGTCGGCTACGTTGGCAACGTGGAGAGAACCCCGCACCTCAGCATACGGGCCCCCGGCCCGCCAATGACCAACTGCCACAAATCTCACCAAGGGGGGGGGGCAAGAGGGGAAAAGAGCGAGAAGCCGCTGACAGCGGCAAACCCTGCAGCAACGTCATCCTGCGAATGCGGCGTTGGATAAGGTGCTAGATTGGAAGCGGCCGAATGCCGAGACAAGTCTGGGGGGCAAAGACCAGCGATCCAACTCCCGGTTGGGTCTCGACGGTGCCCTCCGGGCAGCCAGACTGGAGGTGTTGCCTCATGGTATTACTGAACAGGAAAAATTGGGAAACAACTGTCGCACCGGGCAGAAGGCATCCTTGTTGATTGAGACGAGGACGGTGGAGTGGCCTCTGGAGGGCTTCCTGGGAAAAGTATCAGGTGAATGGGTAACATAATGCACGTAGCAGCGGACAGACGCAAGCAGTTTGACAGCGCTGACCCCAAACAACCTCGCTGCAACGTATGTCGTGCCAGCTGTGTTTACCATGTGTTGCATGCTAGTTGGATCAATCTATCTTGCGCAATTGACTGCATGGTTCACGCGCTAGCACAATCCAGAGATCGAACATGAATCCCACCCGCACAACGACCCGCCCGTAACCTGTTGGCGGAACGCACGAGGCTGTGAGCGCAATTGCCCCTAAGAACATGCGCGGAATTCGCCACAGGCGCAATGGACGCGGAATGGTAATGCTGACGAAATTGCGAATGGTGAAAATAACGTGCATGATAATGTCGATGAAACTGACAATGGTAAAATCACTGACAACACTGATAATAATGGTAGTGTGCTAAAGATAACGATACTGATACTGGCCATGGTAATGAGAATCGTGATGAAAGTGTCACTGCTAACAAAACACCTAACAATAATGATAATGACATTGGTAACGATAGCGATACTAATGAGGCGAATCGCAAAGAAAAGCTGTCATAATGATTAACGAATTAATAATTCTAAATGTCTTCAAAAATGCCAACAATCTTGATTATCGGAATGTGACTGACAACTGTAATGCGGATGGTGGTAGTAATGATGACAAACGTGATATTGACAACGACAAGATAAAAGGATAATGATACAAATAATGTTAACCAATATTACCCGGATAATGGTGATGATGATGATGGTGATGCTAATGAAAAGGACACTGATGATGGCAATGATAACGACAATGACCGTGTACGTGATAGATATAGAATGATACCAGAGAAAAGCCCCCATCCGATTTTTGTCAGGGGCTATAGGTCTATGGGGCTATAGGGCTCTAAGGCTATGGGGCTATGGGGCTATAGTATAGGGCTATAGGGCTATAGGGCTGTAGGGCGATGGGGAAAGGCTAGAAGGTTTTAGGGCTATTAGGGCTATTGGGGCGATTGGGCTATAGGGCTATAGGGCTATTAGGGCTTTGGGACTATAGGGCTGTTAGGCTATAGGAATCTAGGGCTATAGAGCTATGAGGCTGTACGGCTATTAGGGCTATGGGGCTATCGGGCACCCGGGCAACTGGACACCCAGGCACCCGGGCACCCGGACACCCGGGCACCTGGGCACCCGGACACTGGGGCACCCGGGCACCCGGGCAACCGGGCACCTGGGCACCCGGGCACCCGGGCATCCGGGCACCCGGGCACCCCTGGGCACCTGGGCATCCGGGCACCCCCGGGCATCCGGGCACCCAGGCCCGGCCACCGAAATCGGCGACGGAGGTCACCTGCACATATGAATCCGCTAGGAACCCTACAGTGGCAAGCTCTGATTGGAGAAATCACGATAACGACAATGATAATGATAAACATAATGATACTTGTAATGATAACGGGAGCGATACAGATAATGACAATGACAATGACAATGATGAAGGGAAGGATAATGCGAATGCGAATGCTAATGATACTGCGAATGGTAGCGCAGAGTCAAATTGCAATGGAGAACAATATGAAATGGGAATGATTTTGATAATGATCCTGATCATGCTAATTCGAATGGTACTGATAACGACGATGACATGACAACGATAATGATGATAAGAACGGTATTGGTAATGGTAGCGGTAGTGGTAATGGTAACGGCAGATAATGGCACTGGGAATCAAAATGGTAATGGCAATGGTAATGGTAATGGTAATGGTAATGGTAATGGTAATGGTAATGGTAATGGTAATGGTTATGGTTATGGTAATGGTAATGGTAATGGTAATGGTAATGGTAATGGTGATGGTAATGGTAATGGTAATGATAATGGTAATGGTAATGGTAATGGTAATGGTAATGGTAATGGTAATGGTAAATGTTATGGGAATGGTAAGGGTAATGGTAGTGGTAACGGTAATGAGGATAGAAATGGCAATGTGAATGGTAATGGTAATGGTAATGGTAATGGTAATGGTAGTGGTAATGGTAATGGTAATGGTAATGGTAATGGTAATGGTAATGGTAATGGTAATGGTCATGGTAATGGTAATGGTAATGGTAATGGTAATGGTAATGGTAATGGCCATGGTAACGGCAAGAGTAAAGGTACTGGTAATGATCATGGTAATGGTAATGATAATGGAAACTGTAATGGTTATGGGAATGGTAATGGCAATGGGAATTTTAGTGGCAGCACTGGTACTCGTACTGGTAATGGTAACGGTCATAATCATGGTAATGGTCATGGTCATGGTCACGGTCATGGTAATGGGAATGGGAATGGGAATGGTAATGGGAATGGTCATGGTCATGGTCATGGGCATAATAAAGGTAATGGTAAGAGTAATGGTAATGGTAATGGTAATGGTGATGGTGATGGTGATGGTGATGGTGATGGTGATGGTGATGGTGATGGTAATGGTGATGGTAATGGTAATGGTGATGGTGATGGTGGTAATGGTAATGGTAATGGTAATGGTAATGGTAATGGTAATGGTAATGGTAATGGTAATGGTAATGGTAATGGTAATGGTAATGGTAATGGTAATGGTAATGGTAATGGTAATGGTAATGGTAATGGTAATGGTAATGGTAATGGTAATGGTAATGGTAAATGGTAATGGTAATGGTAATGGTAATGGTAATGGTAATGGTAATGGTAATGGTAATGGTAATGGTAATGGTAATGGTAATGGTAATGGTAATGGTAATGGTAATGGTAATGGTAATGGTAATGGTAATGGTAATGGTAATGGTAATGGTAATGGTAATGGTAATGGTAATGGTAATGGTAATGGTAATGGTAATGGTAATGGTAATGGTAATGGTAATGGTAATGGTAATGGTAATGGTAATGGTAATGGTAATGGGTAATGGTAATGGTAATGGTAATGGTAATGGTAATGGTAATGGTAATGGTAATGGTAATGGTAATGGTAATGGTAATGGTAATGGTAATGTAATGGTAATGGTAATGGTAATGGTAATGGTAATGTAATGTAATGGTAATGGTAATGGTAATGGTAATGGTAATGGTAATGGTAATGGTAATGGTAATGGTAATGGTAATGGTAATGGTAATGGTAATGGTAATGGTAATGGTAATGGTGGTAATGGTAATGGTGGTAATGGTAATGGTAATGGTAATGGTAATGGTAATGGTAATGGTAATGGTAATGGAAATGGTAATGGTAAAATGGTAAAATGGTAATGGTAATGGTAATGGTAATGGTAATGGTAATGGTAATGGTAATGGTAATGGTAATGGTAATGGTAATGGTAATGGTAATGGTAATGGTAATGGTAATGGTAATGGTAATAACGGTAATGGTAATGGTAATGGTAATGGTAATGGTAATGGTAATGGTCATGGTAATGGTAATGGAAACGGTAATGATAATGGCAATGGCAATGACATTGGTAATGGTAAAGGTAAAGGTAATGATAATGGTAATGGTAATGTTAACGGTAATGGCAATGGCAATGGCAATGGCAATGGCAATGGTTTTTGTTTTGGTAATGGTAACGGTAATGGTAATGGTAATGGTAATGGTAACGGTACTGGTACTTGTACTGGTACTGGTAATGGTCATGGTAGTGGTACTGGTACTAGTACTGGTACTGATACTGGTACTGGGAATGTTAATGGTAATGGTAATGGTAATGGTAATGGTAATGGTAATGGTAATGGTAATGGTAATGGTAATGGTAATGGTAATGGTAATGGTAATGGTAATGGTAATGGTAATGGTAATGGTAATTGCAATGGCAATGGCAATGGCATTGGCAATGGTAATGGTAATAGTAATGGTACTGGCAATGGTAATGGGAATGATAAGTTTAATGGTAATGGTAATGGTAATGATAATGGTAATGGTAATGGCAATGGTGATGGCAATGACAATGGCAATGGCAATGGTAATGGCAGTGGTAATGCTAATTGTAATGGTCCTGGTAATGGTAATGGCAATGGCAATGGCAATGATAATGGTAATGGTAATTGTAATGGTAATGGCTATGATAATTTCGATGGCAATTGCAATGGCAATGGTAATGGTCATTGTAACGATTTTGGTAATGGTCACGATCATGGTAATGGCAGTGGCATGGTTTCGACGATCGCGATGTCGATGGCGATCTCGATGACCATGGCGCTGATGTTGATGACGATGCTGATGACGACGATATTAATGATAGTTGCTGGTGATGCTGGTGATGGTGATGAGGATGAGGATGAAAACGATAGTGGTAATGCTGATGCTGATGGTGGTGGTGGTGATGATGATGACTTTGATGACAGTGACGCAGGTGGTGGCAATTTGAACTGGACCCCCCCCCACCCCCTTCCCCGATCCGTCGTCGGGGACACCCCCCCCCCCCCCTCCCCCCCTTCCCCGATCCCTCGTCGGGGACCCCCCCCCCTTTCCCCGACCCTCGTCGGGGACCCCCCCCCCCCCCCCCCTCCCCCCCCTTTCAAAAGGGGGGGGGTCCGAACCCCACCCCAGCCCCTCACCCCTTTCGCCACGCCGCCCCCTGACTCGGGAACCCGGCCCCCGCCACCCCTACCCTTAGTCCTCACCC